TTTAGTGGGAAATATATTTTTCGCAGATATCCTTTTTTCGAAAGAATTAACAAATATCAATTTCATTTTACACAGGGGTGACTAGAGTTTGTGTGTATCTACATATATATGCAGTTTCGTGTGTGTGGAGATGTGTGTGAGTGTTTGTGTGTATGTTTATGTATGTAATGTATGTATGCATGTATATATATTCTATCTGTCCATATATACGCATATATATATATATATATATATATATATATATATATATATATATATATATATATATATATACATATATATATTTATTTATTTATTTATTTATTTATTTATTTATTTACTTATTAATGAATGAATGAGGGTGAGGGTGTGTGTGTGTGTGTGTGTGTGTGTGTGTGTGTGTGTGTGTGTGTGTGTGTGTGTGTGTGTGTGTGTGTGTGTGTGTGTGTGTGTGTGTGTGTGCGTGTGTGTGTGTACAAATAAATATATATATACATATATATACATATATAAAAATATATGTGTATGTGCATCTATGTGTATATATGTATATATATATATATATATATATATATATATATATATATATATATATATATATATATATATATATATGTGTGTGTGTGGGTGTGTGTGTGTGTGTGTGTCTATGTATACATATATGTTAGTGTTCACGTATGCATCAATTAATGCACATCTTCAATGTGTCTGCATATGTATACACACACATATACGCACACATCCCGTCAGTCTAACCCGCCCAAGAACCCACCATGCCAACTGCCCACCCACACGACAACCCACCCAAGTACCCACATGCTTAACTACCCAACAACCCACCCCGTCAACTGCCTAACAACGGAACTACTCACCCAAACCCACCCACCCACTCAACTACCCTACGACCCACCCACCCATCCACCCTATCACCCACCCACCCACACATCCACTCACCTATCCATCCCATCCACTCACCTACACACCCATCCACCCACCCACTCACCTACCCATCCACTCACCCACTCACCTACCCACCCATCCATCCACTCACTTACCCACCCACCTATATCCACCCACCCACACATCCACCCTCTCACCTACTCACCCACCCTCTCACCCATCCATCAACCCACCCACACATCCACCCACCTATACATCCCATCCACCTACCCACCCACCCACCCACCAATCTATCTATCCCATCCATCCACCCATCCACCCACCTACCCACCCACTCACCCACCCACCCCACCCACCCACCCACCCACCCACCACCCACCACCCACCCACCCACTCACTCATCCACCCACCCACCCACTCACTCATCCACCCACCCACCCACCCACTCACCCACCCACTCACCTCCCCACCCACTCACCCACCCACCCACCCACCCACCTACCTCCCCCCACCCCGACCGTTCCTATCCAACCCCCAAACCCACCTTTCTATCCTGACGGCGTGCCACTTGCCGTCGTTGAGGTGCACCTGTTGGAGGCACAGGTGTATGGTGGGGCTCTGGTGGAGGGCGAGCTTGAGGCAGACTTGGCCGCCCACGAGATGCACCGCCATCAGGTCACGCCCGTGCTGGGAACTCAGCGCCAGGAGCTGACCCGAGCTCTCCCACGTGCGAAATCTTGGAGGGGGCGGGGGAGAGGGAAAGGCGGTGGTGAGGTTGAGGATGGTGATGGGAATGGTGATAGTGGGGATGGTGGTGGTGGTGGTGGTGGTGGATGAGGATGTGGATGGTGATGGGGATGGGGGTGGTGTTGATGGTGGTGAGGATGAGGATGGTGGTGATGGTGGTGGGGGTGAAAGTTCTTGGGTAATGGTGTTGGTGGTGCTAATGGTGATGATAGTGATGATGATTGTGATGGTGACTGATGCTGATGGTTGTAGTGGTGGTGATGATGATGATAACTGTCACCATGATCATTACTATTAGCATAATAATAACAATAATGATGATAATAATAGTTAAAATAATAATAACAATAACGATAACAACAGCAATAATAATGACGATAATAATGATAATAATAGTAATGATAATGATAATAACAATAATAATAATAATAATAATAATAATAATGGTAATAATAATAATAATAATAATAATAATAATAATAATAACTATAATAACAATAACAATAATGATGATGATAATGAGAGTGATAATAATAATAATGATGATGATAATGAGAGTGATTATAATAATAATGATGATTATAATAATAATAACAACAACAGTTATAATGATTATTATTATTATTGTTATTATTATTATCATTATTATTATAATGATAATAATGACTATAAAAATGATAATAGGAATATCAAAAATAACAATAATTATAATAATAATAATCATTATTATTATTATCACTATTATTGTTATAATCATAATGATAACAACAACAACAATAACACCAACACCATCTCACCCAACACAAGAAGGGCAATGAACAGAACAGAGAAGACCACACCTCAAGTGAACGGTGGTGGTGTTCGGTGGTGGCAC